ACCCCTCCTTTCCTCTTATATGTAATTTTGTATAACCCTGAGGATCACCTTCCATTTCCATGTGATTTCCCTTCTCACTCCCTTTCCCTCCCACCTCTCATCCCTGTTTAATGTTAATCTTCTTCTCAAGCTCTTCGTCTCTACCCTGTCCTTGGTTACTCCCCTTATATCAAAGGAGTCATTTGGCATTTGTGTTTTAAAGATTGGCTAATTTCACTTAGCATAATCTGCTCTAATGCCATCCATTTCCCTCCAAATTCTATGATTTTGTCATTTTTTAATGCAGAGTAATGGAGTATTACTCTGCATTAAAAATGATTATTGTGCTTTAAACAGTATTCTTGAACTAAACATTAAAAGGAAGTATTGTGAATATCATTTTGGGGGGAGGGTGCAGGGGATTGAACCTAGGGCTTTGTGCATGTGAGGCAAACATTTTACTGACTGAGCTATATCCCCAGCCTCCTTGAATATCATCCTTATATGAGAATGGGAAAGTGCTCATTTTAAAATTCACAAAATAAATAGCTTTAATGAGAAGGAAATTTGAACTTGGGAAAATGTGGGAGTGATAAAGTGTTATGGACTGTAAAGTAGAAAAACATTAAGTTTAAACAGAAGAATCATTTAGTTAAAACAAGAAAGGGAAGTTATAACATTTCCCAATGTTAAATTAATATTTAAAGGTAGTTTTATGGCAATTTATATGTAAATGAGAAAATGATATAAGATGGAATAGACCAAACAGATTTGCAGGCATCAGGCACATCCTTATGTGTTTGTGTACAATAATCATGAGCATAAAGAATTTTCAGTTTCAAGCAAAGGCTTATTTATTTTCACAAAATCATTCAAAAGAGATTTCAGGGCTGGGGTTGTGGCTCAGGGGTCGAGCACTTGCCTAGCATGCAAGAGGCACTGGGTTCAATCCTCAGCACCACATAAAATAAAATAAAGATATTGTGTCCACCTATAACTAAATAATAAATATTTAAGAAGTACAAGTTATTTAAAAAGATTTTATTTCACAATTTCTGTTTTTTTTTAAAAAAAAACATTTCTAGTTGTAGATACACAATAACTTTATTTTATTTATTTATATGTGGTGCTGAGGATCAAACCTAGTGCGTCACACCTGCCAGGCAAGCCTCTACCACTGAGCTACAACTCTAGCCTTCACAATGACTTCTTATTGGCCAAAGTCTTTGATCTGGGTGGTGTTAAACTTCTTAGAGAGCAATCCTCAATCAGTGGCTACTTAGTTACAGTTAGGAGCAAGAAGTTCTGGTGTGCTGTTGCACAGTGGGCAACTAGACAGAACAGTAAGTTCTGAACATTTCGGAAAGCTAGAAGAAAGGATTTTGATAATTTTCTTCATAAAGGAATAGTAAATGAGGCATAAGTATGTATGTTTAAACATGTATCAAAAAATTACATGTTGGGGCTGGGGGTGTGGCCTAGTGGTAGAGTGCTTGCCTTACACGTGCAAAGTCCTGGGTTTGATCCTCAGCACCACATACAAATAAATAAATAAGATAAAGTGATTGTGTACAACTACAAAAAATAAACTTTTTAAAAAATTACATGTTGTGCCATTAACATGTTTGTATGTATGTATGTATTTTCAGTACTGTAGATTGAACTCAGGGATGCTTTACTACTGAGCTATATCCCTATCCTTTTTTATTTTTTATTTTGAGACAGGGTCTCACTAGGTGGCTTAGGGCTTCTCTAAGTTGCTGAGACTGGCCACATACTTGGAATCCTCCTGCCTCAGCCTGTCAGTTCACAAGGATTACAGGTGTATGCCACTGCATCCAGACAATATGTATACTTTTTATGTTTTTATGTATCAGTTAAAAATTAGATTTAATTAAAATAATAGAGCTACACTAAAACAATGTTCTTGGATACTGATGTGTGTTTTTTTAATGAAACTAGAGATTGAACCCAGTGTGTCAAGTATGCTGATTTTGTGAAGTTAGCTATTTCCTCTTGTATTCCATCTTACAAGATAGAGGAATAAGTGAAGCATACAGTCTTTTGAGCTAATAAAACCTCAGACTATTTACCTAATTTAGTGGACAAAGCCAGCCTCTTCCTGGATTTAGACTTTGGTTGAAAAAGGTTTATTCATCCTGCTTAAAATAGGCATTCCAGGCTCTAAATTCTAATTATGGCAGGAATGTAGATTTTTCTTTCTTCTGTTTATCTTTGAACATGTTTTAATTTTAACATCTCATTTGCTATATAGCATGATAGGACTCTGTCAAATCATGGTGCAGAATTTATGCCTTTTTGCTCACATCTGTGACATTGAGTATGTGTTCACTTATCTTCACTAAAGATCTTCATCTACACAAATATAAAAATCTATTTTTCAAGTTTAAAGAGTCATGGCATTGTTCAGCAAAAAGGGAGAAATTCATTTTGCTTAATATTTAGGGTTCTGTGATACTATAATATGGTTGATAATGGTTTATAGCGGGCACACCTTCTAGATGTGAGATTTCTTTCAAACATTTATGAATATGTGATTTATGTGTCTCCATTTTTGACAAAAATGTTAACATCCCTTTGAATAATTAAATGAAGTAGACTTTGATTTTTTCATTTCAAGGATGGCTGTTTTTCTTCACTCTGCCTACCTTTTTAACCTTTATATCCATTCTTCTTGAAAACATTGCCTCTACTTGTTGACTCTGCTGATTAGTTTCACTTACATGTCAAGCTAATGTAATCTGAATTCTGCCCATGCTTTTTCACGTTGGTGGCCAGGACCACTAAATATCTTTTTGCTACAAAATCTAATGGACAGTTCTCCTATCACAGTGGCAGTTAATCCTGTTACCTACTTCCTCCTTGAAAAAGACTCCAGTTATAACCACATTTAATTACTTTTCCTTTTTTCTTTCATTCTGGTAATACCCAGCCTCTTTGGACTTCTCTTTCTCTGCCTCACATAAATTAGTTATTTCTCAGTTTTCTGTTAAGACCTCTTTGCTTCTCATGCTACTATTTCCCCTCTATTATCATCATTGCTTTAGTCAATCTGCTGAAGCAGATACGCTGCTGATTCTGAAACTTCTCTTGGCTTCAGATCTGTATATCCAGTTGTCTATTGGACATCTTCACTTGACTGTCATAGGAGAATAAAAGTGATATGGATTACTTTTAGCTTTGGGCTAAAAAGGGAGAGACATTGCCTCCCAAACAAACTTCAGGTGCATGGGTGTAACTGGTCTTAGGGATTACAGGAACCACTTTGGGCTGCTGCTTCTCTTTTGTCTCTGCTTATCAGTATTAAGATCCCAGAAATTTAGTTTACTTATTTATTTTTTGTGGTGCTGAGGATTGAACTCAGAGTCTTGTACATACTAGGCTCTACTACTAGCTGCATCCTCAGCCCTGTCAGAACTGTCTTCTATATGAGGGTGGATCATGGCTCACCAAAGTCATTATTGTGACAATTGTAAATCAGAAGTAGGTCCACTCTTTGTCCAATTCCAGATAGAAAATTGCCTGACAAGGATTGTGATTGGCATAGCAGGATATAAAGTGTCTTGACTGATATTCATTCTGGTGGGGGTGGGGATCTACTGACTCAATTCACAGAAGGAAGCTAACTTAACCCTGTCCAACTTTTGTGTATAATTCTAATTTCAGTGGATAAGGTGATAATTTTAGTTTTTTGATGAACCATACCTCCTTGGTTATCTTCTTAGAGTTGATTGCTGTCACTTGGTGGTTGTCTATGAGAACTGAAGGAACATGAAAATGTTGATCAGTGTTTCTTCTTGGAAATAGACTTATGTAATCATAATGTTCTAATTAGTGATTTAAAAACAATAAAATAATTAATACTTTTATATATAAAATGGAATTTACCAGGAAGGCAAGGTTTTCTGTTTTCACTATAACATTTGACATTCAAGAATTAATTAAAAGATAATTTGTTGAATGAGTATCCATTTGTTAAAAGGGTTTTCATTGTTTACTCTTTTGGGTATATTTACTCTTAATTTTATTACAGATTTAAGAAATAAGAGCTTCTAAGTTTAAATAATGTTAACTTACTTTCATGTTGTCTTTCTTTTTTTCCTAGACTACCTGTTATAGGCCCTGGGTCAAGAGAGCAATTTCGTACCTTCCTGCTGGTTCAGAAACAAGTCTCTGTAGAACCAGAAGCAAAGAAAAGGAAACAATCTGACTTTTTTCTTACACTGACTATATATAAGATACTTGACTTCCAAGAACAAAGGCAGTGAAATACAATTTTTGTTTTGATTGAATATTCATCGCATTGAGGATCATACTTTGTGGAGCTTCCTGAAGTGAGATTTGGAACCTTCATTGGTGCTCATTTATACCTTTGATTGTAAGCATGAGTGAATTCTGGTTGTGTTTCAACTGCTGTATTGCAGAACAGCCTCAGCCTGTAAGTATGAAGTAATGTTTGTATAGAGTGGGTGGGGTGCTTCTTAAATATACTCACACTGAGACTTGGGACCCTCAGAGCAATTGCAGGGCAATTCTAGGGGTATTGCCAGGAATAGTTCTGTGGAACTCCAAACATCTGTTTAAAAGGAGAGATTAATGTGTTCTGAGTAAATACGATGTGTTAAGAACTGTGCTAGATCATTGTATATGACTGGACAGCTGTGGTGTTCCCATACATAGACAGCTTCTGGAGGAACAGTGAGAGGAAAAGGAGACAACAGCCTGAGGCCAAGCAGCCAGGTCAGGCTTTGACATCAGTGGGTGGAAGATGATAGCAGTCAAGTTCCCTTCATATGCTTCTCAACATACCATCTTATTTTTAATCACAGCAACCCTCTGAGGAAGGTGCCATTATCCTTACTTTTCAGTTGATAACATACTTTTTTTGCTCATGGTATTGGGATGGAAGTGGTCTTGGTTGATTCATCACATATGCCACACTTTTGTGCCTTCTTACCTGTGCACATATTCTACCAAAACCCTGCCTGACAACCCCCAAATTATTGTTTGTCTTTGAAGATGCCTAATCAGAAGTTACCAGTTACCTTTGTAAAATTTTCCCAGCTTTCCCCTAACTTAGATAATACCTCATCTGTATTCCTACAGCCCAGATAGTGAATAACTGTTATGCAGTCCCACCACATTATGAATTCTTTAGGAACTTGATCATATCACTTTGTGCCTTCAGAATTAATTATTCTACCTTGGCGAATGTAGGTGTACATACCAGCTGTCTGTCTGTCTGGCTAGCTGAGTAAGTGTATTCATTGTTGGGTTTTTTAGGTTTGTTATTTGTTTTGGGGTGCTACAGATCAAACCCAAGGCCTTGTACATGCTAATTAAGTACTCTACCACTGTGCTATACTCCCAATTTTTCTTATTTTTTCTTTTGAGACAGGGTTCAAGTTGCCCAGGTTGGCCTCAAACTTGCCATCCACTTCGTGAGTAGCTGGGATGACAGTGTGTGCTACCATACTCTACTCAGTTTTGTAACAATACAAAAGGAAGATGAGAGTTAAATTAAAAAATATAATTGCACATGTAATACATAAATGAATTCTTACGATAAAGATTCATACAGTGTAACTGGATGTGGTGGTACATACCTGTAATTGCAGTGACTTGGGAGGCTAAGACAGGATTGCAAGTTTGAGGCCAGCCTCAGCAACTTAGTGAGGCTTTAAGCAACTTAGTGTGACTCTGTCTCAAAATAAAAAGGGCTGGGGATGTGGTTCAGTGGTAAAGGGCCCCTGGGTTTAATCCCTGGTACCACCTCCACCCCCACCAAAAAAAAAAAACAGAAAGAAAAATTTATACAGGGCAGACAAAAGAGAAAAATTAAAAATGAGAATAATCTTTTTTTTTTTTTTTTGAGAATTTTTTTTTTAATATTTATTTTTTAGTTCTCGGCGGACACAACATCTTTGTTGGTATGTGGTGCTGAGGATCGAACCCGGGCCGCACGCATGCCAGGCGAGCGCGCTACCACTTGAGCCACATCCCCAGCCCCCGAGAATAATCTTTTTTATTTGCTTCTCCAATCTCAGTGATTCACCTTTTAGAGATTGGTATTTATTTCTCTTAGTTAATATATATGTATATATTTATATAAGTTTTATTAATTTCTAGAATTACAGCATTTGTAGTATTTTTGACATAACTATATGGTCGCACATTTAATTTTTCTGTTGATACTTATTATTTGTAATGTGTTATTTTAATTTGTACTTACCAGGTTAGTAGAGAGGTTAAAAATCTTTTTCATATATTTAGTGTAAATTTGTATGTTTCTTCTTTCATCAAATTGTCTATTGATAGTCTTTATAATTTTTAGATGGATTGTTTGACTTTGTCTATTTTTATAGCTTCAAATGTGCTGTGATTAATAACCCTATGTATTGTAGGTGTTTCTCTCAGTATCTCTCAGCTTTTTCTATAGCATTATGGCATCTTTTATGATATACAAGTTTTCCTTAAGAATACCTTTATTATAATATTTTAAAGACCTGCGCTGTTTTCTTATTCTACTTTAATAATTTAAAGTTTCTTACATTAGCTCTTTGATCAACACAGAATGGAAGATGGACTTTAATATGGTGTGAGGGAGTCTGAAACTTTTTACATGCTAATCAGATATCTTAAAACAGTTTATTAATGGCACTGCCATACTGATTTGTGTGTGTGCACACACGTACTAGGGTTCAAACACAGGTTCTTGTTCGTGCTAACTAAGCTGGCCTCCTGTACTACCATTTTCTCTATGAACACGTCTCTGATGGATCTGGGAAGAGTTTTGGTTATTGGTTTTTTCCTCCATCATTATGCCCAGGTAGGTCTTACACCTATTAGCTCATGATATCCTTCCTGGGCTGGGGTTGTAGCTCAGTGGTAGAGTATTTGCCTAGCACGTGTAAGGCAAATCCTCAGCACCACATAAAAATAAGTAAATAAAAAATGTTTCTTCAGCCTCTTGAGTAGTTGGGGCTACAGGCATGTAGCATCATGCCTGGCTTCTCATACTTTCAGGGTTTTTTGGTAGTTGCAGATGGAAAGCATTTATTTATTTACTTATTTATTTATTTTTTTTCATTTATTAAATTGTTTTTAGTTGTACATGAACACAATACCTTTTTGTTTTATTATTTATTTTTATGTGGTGCTGAGGATCGAACCCAGTGCCTCCCACATGGCAAATGCTCTACCACTGAACTATAACCCCCCCAACCCCCCATACTGTTTTTTTAAGGGAGCAAGAGAGAGAATTTTTTAATATTTATTTTTTAGTTTTCGGTGGATACAACATCTTTGTTTGTATGTGGTGCTGAGGATCGAACCCAGGCCGCACGCATGCCAGGCGAGCGCGCTACCGCTTGAACCGCATCCCCAGTCCCATACTGTTTTAATTGTTCTCATTACCTAGTATGTTTTGCTTTCATAGGGAAGTTTTTTCTTTTTTGACTGTATTGGTAATGTCTTTTTTGTTTGTTTTGTTTTTTGTTTTTGGGAAGATGGGTTGTGGTTACATGTTTCTTCATGATGTTATTTTTCATATTTTTCTTCATATGAGATACTGTATAATGCATATTTTATTTTTTATTTATTTGTTTGCTTCTTTGGGGGTACCAGGGATTGAACTCAGGGGCACTCAACCACTGAGCCACATCTCCAGCCCTATTTTGCATTTTATTTAGGGACAGGGTCTCACTGAGTTGCTTAGTGCCTCGCTTTTGCTGAGGCTGGCTTTGAACTCACTATTCTCCCGTCTCAGCCTCTGGAGCTGCTGAGATTAGAGGCGTGTGCCACTGCGCCTGGCCATATTTTAAAATCTTATGGCTGTTTTTAAGATTGCATTGAGTTGAGAGGAATTAGGTAGAAATTGACATGTTTTAAATTTTTAGTAATCCCACAGAAAGGCATGGCTTATATCTTCATTTATGTAGACCTTTTATGTTCTTTTAGTGAATTTTTTTAAAAAATGTTTTTGATAGTTGTAGATGGACAGTGTATTTATTTTATTTGTATGTCTTTATTTTATTTGTTTTATTTTTATGTAGTTGAACCTAGTGCCTCACATTGTGCTAGGCAAGCACTTTGCCACTGAGGCACAGCCCCAGTTCCTCTCTTAATGAAGTTTTAAGATTAAGATTTCATCATATTAGTTTGCACATTTCTTGTTAGATTTATTGTAGATGTTTTATAGATTTTTATTCTGGATTTCTGTTTTTCTGTTACTTTTCCTAATTACTAGTTTGTAGGAAGCTCACAATTTCTAAGTGCTATTTTTTTTATCCAGACTCATTAAAACACTTAAATGAGTTTAATAGTACTTTAATTGATTAAATTTGTCCTCTGAATATTTCCAGATAGTGATTGTTTTAGTTGTTTCTGATATTTAAGCCTTTTCTCCTTCATTATCTGGGACCTGCACTATGACATCAAATAGTGTTAGCAATAGTTGAATATTCTTGTTTAACCTGACTTTAATAGGAAAAGTTTTAATACTTAATCATGAAATAAAAGAATATGTTTGGGCATTTTTAATGACTGCACATACATATCAGTTATTGTGTATAGTTTATAATATATGGTATCATCGAAGAATGTGTTTTTAACACTTTTTTTAAAAAGTTTGTGAGACATTTGAGTCCTCTTACCACATGTTTTGGAAGATGGGTATGCCTTGTAATTTTATGTTGAACATGACATATAGGATGAAAGGAACCAAGGTAAATGATCCTTTAGTGTGAGGTTTTATACCTGTCTGGCTATAGGTTAGGCCCTTGTACTATTTGGTATAGCTGTAGGTGTCAGAGGATAAAATTTCCTCCAGTGTTCTTGTTTTGGCCTCCTTTGTCTTCGGTTTTCCTTGAAACCTCTTCTTAAATAAGGTCTGGGTGTTTAGTTGTTTCATTTGTAATCCGTTATTCAGGAGCCCTGTAGATGTGGTTGTAAGGTGTAGGGAGAGGAGCATTACATAGTGCTAGGATTAGGTCTCATTCTGAGTGAGCCTGGGCCACTGGACTATGACTTCTACGGGGTGCTTCCCAGTTTTTTTTCCCCCCTAATCTCTTAGGTGACACAAAAGAGACTAGAAAGGATTAGAGATGGGCATTTCCCTTCCCCCATGGTAGGTAGTTTCTGGTAAAAACTCCAGTTGGTTAGGTTTTGGTAAGATAGTTGCTCTTGAGGGCAGGTCTTGTTAAGAACAGATTGCTGTGCCTTATTTCAACATGGCTGTCTTTCACCACTTTTGTTGAAACCCAGGGGATTTTTCTCCTATCTCCATTGCAGGAATCTGGTGACGTTCTTGATGATGATTACTACATATGTGTAGGGGTCTCTGCCAGACTGCCTACCCCACTGGAGTTGTTAATTCTCAAACTTGTCCATATTGAGTTGCCAGCAGTACATTTATTGGAATTCAGGCTTTTGTTCTTT